TATAATCGACTAAAGTATAAGGGCCCATTGCGCTCCCAGTATCACAGACCATTTCCGCTGCTTATCTTCATATGTAAGCCTTCTATGTTTAGCCCAATATGAAAATAGCAAAAGACATCTTTTAAATTTAACTTAAGTGTTCAAAAAACGTGTCATTATAGAAACCTAGTTTCTCGCGGCACTCCCTCTTTTTGCAGATAAAACACCAATTTCCATTGACCATTTCCTTTTTAATCTCTGTGCAAAGTGTCATCTCCGCCCTACAAGGACAAACGCGTACCAGGAAAAGTAAGCAGAGCGAAGCCATCCACGGCTCAAAGCCCCGTTCAAAGGAGTAAGCTCCCCGTCAAACGCCCTGCGACTGAAAGAAACCAAGCAATCCATCTGAAGCAAAATTTTGGGACTGGTTTACTCCTCGTTAATCTCGGCTTATAAGGCAAAAGACGACTGAGGTAACTTCACTTGACAGCTAATCAACACCCGAAAAGCAGTAATTTGTTACACAAGCGTTTTAAACTGTACGTAAAGTCGGCGAGTTTGAAACTAAAAGTGTTAGCACGGAAAGTTGCGGCTCCGCCACTGCACCACACTACCCCAACCGTGCGAGCGTTTTAAGAAATATATAAACGCGTTCACAACTTAGTATAAAAGTTGCTGGGGAAGGTGAAATCCGCCCATAATGTCTCACTATTGCCACCACTGCAAAGCTTACCTCAGACTTAGGTAATCAAACATTTTTTGCATCACCGACGTCACGCTCCTCTCAGCCCTGCTGCGGTGCCGCTGCCCTTTCCCCCAACTTTCCTGCCAAAGAGCGGTTAGCCGATCAACGCGCTTGGCCCGTCAATCGGCGAGAACTCCAAAACTTCTTTAAAAGTAAAGGACCGTCTAATACAATTCATCATTTTCAGTTATCGTCAGCATTCAACGGAAGGCGCAAAATTAAGGCGAAACCGCAAGGACCAAACAAAACGGCTCCAGTTAAAAAAGTACGATTCAACAAAAAAGTAAAGAAATTTTTCTACAATCCAAATGATTACCAATATCGGTTAATGTACTGCTCGCCTTAAAACTTTTTACTCTGAAGAAATAGGAGCAGTTCATATGTCCCCATGAGCTAAACCTTTGTGTATGTCAGAAGTATATCACCTTGCCCACTGTGAAGAATAACTAGAAATAAAAGAATTCCATGTCAAATGAATAAAAAGTTAACAGTGAAATATGAGCAACAGACAGGTTTACTGAGGAACACAGCAAACACAAATGGCTTTTAGCAAAACCTAATGCGAGCAATACGCATAAAATGGTATGAGGAAGCCTACCTTACACTTGCGCAACAAACCACTCGTCAAACTCTGAAGACATAATACTTCTGATGGCAGGAAGCAAACATAGTAAGCAATACACCATTTATACTGTTTTACACAAAATAACTTTCCCACACTTTTGCCAAATCGTTTTCTCACACCAGCGCCAACAAAAAAACTACACCAAGACTTGGCAAACAATCATGCCATTTTTGGAGGATAAAAAACTCTGTGTCCAATGCAAAAGTCAATGGAAAAAAGCCGGGTAAAATGTGAAAGCAAAATTCAAATCAACTACCAAATATTATTGAATTAGAAAAAAACAGCCATTTTGTCAAAGATAAAAAAAAGAAGTTCCTCTAGCTCCTTAAAAACTACACAAACCTTGTCTTTACACAAAGTCAACTGCGACGAATTCACCATCAACCACAGAAAAATATGAGGTAAGGGAATGAGACAATGAGTTTCTGTATGTAATCGCACTAAAACCACTGATAAAACAAATAATTGATAACACACACGCAAAATTACGTAAAACTGACGGTCTTTACCAATGCTCCATCCTCACCACTAAGAATAACAAACAAACCAATACTGAAGGAGCATATGATTAAACAATAAATAAAAAAACACTTCGTTTAGCGTTAATTAAATCAACCCTTCAAAAGCTTATTTTTTTGTCAAAAACCACTAATAGTTCCAAAGACCAATCTAAATTTTCAAAAGAAACAAACTGTAAAAACTTCTCAATTCGATGAAACAATTGTTGAAGATTGGCAGGCGAGCATTGCTGAGGCAGCTGTAGCACAGGAAATGTGAATATTACCACAGCTTCTTCTGTATCGAAACAAACTTTTTGCTCCGCTGGTGAAACATATAATATAATAGGTAACCAGCGACTGAAAAAATAATACTGAAAGCTACGAAACTCTTAACATATTCACCAAAACTTACCACAACATAAAGAAACAACAGGATAACAAAGTAAAAATGAATAGGAAACTTACAACTGACTTTTATTAAACAGAATTAACTGCAAAATCTACTTTAAAAATAGGATAATAAAACTTTATTCGCAAAAATGTAGATTATCAAAACTTCCAAGTTGCAGAAAAGCCAGTTATTTTCCAATACAGTTACAGCCTTTGCCAAAAACGCAACTACAGCTCTGCCCATAATAAGTGACGCAGTTTTGACCCGTTTATTACCCCAGTTACCCTCTCTGTACAAGAAATTTTTTTCTGCAAAAAGGCACTTATAAAGGCAAAACTATCCTAGGCGAACAGAACATTACAAACGCATATTCCCTCGAAAATTAACCTAAAATGACATTTTCTTAAAATGCGCTATCTCATGAAACCTTAGTGATAATGCAAGCCATAAATGAATTGACTCCTTATATATTACAAATTTTTCAGTTGTCCAACGAAGCTTTATCAAATAAACAAATTTCTTTGTCGCTCAACTAATAAACGATAAAGAATTCCCGAAGTAAACTCCTTCTTAATAATTTAAAAGCAACCGCAGCCATTAAGTTAAAATGACGACAAGCAAAATATGAAGCTTCATTCTTATACGCCTCCAATAAACTGTTTAGATATTATAGTAAGAGGAAAAAAAAGTAGAGACTTAAGTTTGAAAAATGTCTAATTTTGTCTAATAAATTAAAGATTAGCGAAATAACACTTACTGAATGGTAACATCAATAGAAGAAAAGTGAGGAAGACACCAAAATTAAATGAAATGTTTGCAGCATTAGGCATTTTCATGCTGAACACACCACTTTCATAGTAATAAGGAATGGCGCGGAATAATGTTATAGCTAAAATTAATTGCATTCGATGAAGAGGTAAAAAAACTCAGTTACTTCGAATATCAGTTAGAAATGTAATAAAGTGTTGCAAAAAAAATATACGCTTATAAAAATAAAAATTGAAATGAAGTGCTACTTTAAAACAAAGTTGCAAAAGTTGGAAAAAAACTAATGTTTTAAAACCAGGATAATACAGCGCATAAAAGCTACCTTCCAATATGAAGCCAGCCGGATATAGAGGAATCCACATGTTGTACCTCAGCCATGTAGTCAATTTGTATTCTTTCTTCAAGCAGCTAACAGTATAGTAGGGATACCTAGACAGGAGATCCTACTAATGATTAGTAATGTGTCATTAAAAAAAGTTATGATTACATACACTTGCATAGTGAAAAAATATTTCTTAACATCCGTTATGATTTCGCGCATATTACTAGCTACTATATGACTATAACTACGGAAAGAAAGTATAAAATATGAAGAATTAGGAACAGTTTCGACCAACGATTACCTGAATATCTCGATGAGGAAATAGACAGCCATAAGAGAAAAAGTGGAAGTTACAGAATGCAGATATGTGTAGCTGTCAATAACATGCAAAACCGTTAAGCGACCCAAAACCTGAAATTTATCCACAGAAATGTTATAAAAAGCCGATTAGTTTGATCACTAGATATTTTTTAGTGCCAAAAAAGAACCTGAATCAAGGAGGCAGCAGGCCCTGTTTTCGTTATGCCAGCAAGAGAGTGTATAACGTCAAAAAGCTGCAACTTTGTACAAAACATGATTAGGGACGATTTCGAAGACCAAAAGCTGTTTACAAAATCTAAAACACCTTCAGTTAAATAAAGTTTCTGTATCTGAGGTGCACAAGTAAATCCCTTTGATGACAAAAAAAGATTTTTCCTATAACTCACCCATCCCTTCGAGCACGTAATACCACATCAAATTTGTCAATACGTAAAAGTGAAGTAAAAACATAATAATATTGTAAGCAACCAAGTAGTACTTCAACGTATTTTTCATCGTGCCTTGCAGCTCTTTCACTGGAAAATAACTACGGTGAGAAAAAGCTGAAGAGTTTAAGACAATGAAAAGTCATTTTTTCAGTATTTTTTGCAGTAACTATGTGTATCCGATCAAAAAGGAGGTTTTCTTTTGACTATCTGTAATTATGAAACTTACAAAACTTGGATGCTTCTCCAAAAGGTAGATTTGGCTTTTTATTATCACCCAGAATTTTTCTTGTCAACTCCTCCATTTTTTCATCATAAGAAACCTATAAAATTATTAAATTATCAATGAATAAAATGAAAATTACACGCAGAAACCGATAGCTGCTGGTAATTCAAAAAAAGAACCCAGAGAGTATAAACTATACAGCCTCACAGTTCGCCTAAAATCCAGTCATTATTCATATCCAGAAAACGTAAAATTTAAACCTGCTCGGGATTTATCATCTCAAACCCTTCTGCAGAATCGCTCTCGTCAGGATCTTTAAAGCGATCAAAGTCAACCTGAATGTTAGCAATTATTGAATTCAAGCATAAAAATCCTTTAGCAACTTTTCAAATACAACTTGAAAAATAAAAGCAAATCTAGGCAATAAGAAACCGCACCCTTAGCCAAGAAATGCGTTTATGATTTTTAGTTACCGAAGTCCACCAACCGCTGACTTTCTTCTTAAACACATACTGCAAAGAACTTCTTCCCTCTCCGGTCACCTGTAAACAAAGCTAGAAACAAATTACAGAAATTTCTCTAAAAAAACACTTTCCGGGCACCTTAAATACCATTAAAAAACCAAACTACTAAATACGCGGTCACTTCACTAAAATACCAAGACTTTGAATTTATCTGACCTTTGAAAGTTCAACCTCTCCAGAAAGAGGGAGCGAAAAAGCATATTCTTTTCGCCCTTGAGCTCCAAAACCAACGCCTTTAAAATCAAAAACGTTGCCATTTACTTTCGTCTCAACATCCTAGGTTGATGTAAAATAAATACCACAGCTCTAGGAAAAACACTGAGGCGGAGGGACAAAAAAAAAATGGATGTCTAAAGAATTCCTACCGTTAACTGCTGGAATAAAAAACAAACAATAAACGGAAGAAGAACATACCGTTGAATCTCTTAAGTCAACCCTCAAAAATAATTCGTCAGGATTTTGGGCCCAGAATACGAAGGGACAGGAAGCCATGCCAAAATATAACAATTGTCAAAATGTGAGATCTTCACCAGTTTCAGCTTGAAGGAGCACTCAGAAAAAAATCACAAAAAAGTAAAAGTGCTGAAAAAAGACATTACAGAGACATTCTTCCGCTATTTATTAAGTATGGCGGGAGGGTAATATAACGCAGTTTTGCAAAAATCAAAATAAAGTACAGAAAACCGGCACTGCTTTCTTTTTTCAGAAATGACAATTAGTGTTTTAATACAGAAGTCAAAAAGAAAAAACGGAACATTTACATAGAAAAATAAGAGAACTTTCAAAATTGTAATGCAATTACCAACTTGAACAAACAAAAAAGATTTCATTAAACAAATAGCGTTGTAGCGTTGCAAATTTAAATGTCATATGGCATTTAAAGCCCAAGAAGATCGGAAATCAAAAGTTAAAACAACTGGCGACAAAAATGCACGACGTTCGTTGTTCACTTATTATTACTCACCAAAAAACATTAAGAAATCAGGTCTACCAAAGGTATTCGTAAGTCCGTGGCGAACTTTCTTGACTGATTACAAACACACACAACATATCGCAAGACTGTTGCCAAAAAAGGACATCTTAACCTATACATCCGTCTACGGCAGTGATGTGCATAAATAACGGGGATGACGAGCTTTAACTGTACGATGTCACTGACACACTACTGACCATTGTTAAAAGAAAAAAAGGGAAAAAACAGAACTTAACCAGAGCACTTAAAAAAATGGAAAAGCACAAAAACGCCAATAAAGTTGTCATCCTTTCCGAAAACTATCACTCCTAACAGTTTCAAACTTTTAATATTCATATGT